CCCGGGTAAAGGAGGAGGGTTGGACATGGGGTTGGCGACCCCATTCCGTCAAAAACTAACTTGCCAAAAAAACGCTAACCAGAAAAAATAATTCAAACCATTTTAACTCTGCCCTGGGAGTTGGAGGAAGAATTATGACGTCGCGTGATGAAAGCCGAGTTCCCTCGGAAGTCACGGGGCTGATGCCTCTTCTGACAACCAGAGCAACCATTTTTTTAGGTACATGGAACGTTCGTACATTGTGGGAGACTGGAAGACTATTTCAAGTTGCGGCAGAAATGAAAAGATACAACCTCGAGGTGCTTGGAATCAGTGAAACACATTGGACACAAGTAGGACAACTGAGACTTGCTTCAGGGGAACTGCTGTTATACTCTGGTCATGAAGAGGAAAATGCTTCACATACACAAGGAGTTGCATTGATGCTGTCCAAACATGCACAAAAGGCACTAATAGGATGGGAATCTCATGGACCCAGGATCATTAAAGCATCCTTCAAAACAAAGAAAGAGGACATTACAATGAACGTCATCCAATGTTATGCACCTACCAACGACTACAATGACGACGACAAAGATCAATTCTACGAAAGGCTGCAGTCAATCGTCGAGAAATGTTCACCAAAGGATTTGACGATTCTTATGGGAGACCTGAATGCCAAGGTTGGAATGGACAACACTGGATATGAAGACATCATGGGACGACATGGACTGGGAGAAAGAAACGAAAACGGTGAGAGATTTGCAAACCTATGTGCCTTCAACAAACTGGTCATCGGTGGCACAATATTCCCGCACAAACGCATTCACAAAGCCACATGGATTTCACCGGATCACACTACTCAAAACCAGATTGATCATATCTGTATCAACAAAACGTTCAGAAGGACTATGGAGGATGTGAGAACCAAGAGAGGAGCTGATGTAGCCTCAGATCACCATTTGCTAATCGCCAAAATGAAACTGAAACTAAAGAAGCACTGGACAACGGGACAGACAACATCACACAAGTTTAATACGGCCTTTCTTCGGGATACTGTAAAGCTCAACGAATTCAAGATAGCCCTCACCAATAGGTTCCAGGCCTTTCAGGATCTACACAATGGAGAGGACACAACATTGGAGAACAATTGGAAAGGGATTAAGGAGGCAATCACTTCAACATGTCAGGAGGTCCTTGGTCGCAAGAAGCAGCATCATAAGGAATGGATCTCTGTTGATACTCTCGCAAAAATTGAAGAAAGGAGGAACAAGAAAGCAGCAATCAATGTCAGCCGAACAAGAGCGGAGAGAGTTACCGCACAAGCTGCATACACAGAAGCAAACAGGGAAGTGAAGAAGAGCATCAGAGCTGACAAACGAAAATACGTGGAAGATCTAGCAACGACGGCGGAAAAGGCTGCAAGAGACGGAAACTTGAGACAATTGTATGAAACTACAAAGAAGCTCGCCGGGAACTATCGTAAACCAGAACGACCAGTGAAAAACAAGGAAGGCAAAGTAATCAGCAACACTGAACAACAGCGAAATAGGTGGGTAGAGCACTTTAAGGAACTCCTAAATCGACCAGCTCCTCTGAAGACACCCAACATCGAAGCAGCATCCACGGACCTCCCAATTAATATTGGCGCACCTACGATTGAGGAGATCAGTATGGCCATCAGACAAATCAAGAACGGCAAAGCAGCAGGACCAGACAACATTCCAGCAGAGGCAATGAAAGCAGATGTAGAAGCAACTGCGAAAATATTTCACATCCTCTTCAAGAAGATTTGGGATGAGGAACAAGTACCATCAGACTGGAAGGAAGGATACCTGATCAAAATACCAAAGAAAGGCGACCTCAGCAAGTGTGAGAACTACAGAGGCATCACTCTTCTTTCAATACCAGGCAAAGTCTTCAACAGGGTATTGTTAAACAGAATGAAGGACTTCGTAGACGCCCAACTTCGAGATCAACAGGCCGGATTTCGGAAGGATCGATCGTGTACTGACCAAATTGCTACATTACGGATCATTGTGGAACAATCAATTGAATGGAACTCACCACTCTACATCAACTTCATCGACTACGAGAAAGCATTCGATAGCGTGGACAGGAAAACACTGTGGACTCTTCTTCGACACTACGGTGTGCCTGAGAAAATAGTCAACATCATACGGAACTCTTATGATTGATTCAACTGCAAAATCGTGCACGGAGGACAGCTAACCGACTCTTTCGAGGTAAAGACCGGTGTCAGGCAAGGTTGCTTACTTTCACCCTTCCTCTTTCTCCTGGTGATCGACTGGATTATGAAAACGTCAACAGCTGGAGGGAAGCACGGTATCAACTGGACAGTTAGGACGCAGCTGGACGATCTGGACTTCGCAGATGATCTGGCTCTTCTATCGCACACGCAACAACAAATGCAAGAGAAGACGACCAGTGTAGCAGCAGCCTCTGCAGCAGTAGGTCTCAACATACATAAAGGAAAGAGCAAAATTCTCCGATGCAACACAACATGCACCAATCAAATCACTCTTGATGGAGATGCCTTGGAGGACATTAACACCTTTACATATCTGGGCAGCATCATCGACGAGAAAGGTGGATCGGATGCAGATGTGAGGGCACGGATTGGCAAAGCAAGGGCTGCATTTCTACAGTTGAAAAATATCTGGAACTCCAAACAGATATCAATCAACACCAAAATAAGGATTTTCAATACAAATGTCAAGACAGTTCTAATGTATGGAGCGGAAACATGGAGAACTACCAAAGCCATCATCCAGAAGATACAAGTGTTTATTAACAGCTGTCTACGTAAAATACTTCGTATTCGATGGCCAGACACCATCAGCAACAACGAACTGTGGGAGAGAACAAGTCAGATTCCAGTGGAAGAGGAAATCAGGAAGAAGCGTTGGAAGTGGATAGGACACACTCTACGAAAAGCACCTAACTGCGTCACGAGACAAGCCCTCACATGGAACCCTCAAGGCAAAAGGAAAAGAGGAAGGCCAAAGAATACATTACGCCGTGAAATAGAGAAAGATATGAGAGCAATGAACAAACATTGGACAGAACTGGAGGAAGAAGCCCAGGACAGAGTTGGTTGGAGAAAACTGGTGAGCGGCCTATGCTCCATTTGGGGTAACAGGCGAAAGTAAGTAAGTAAGTACTTCAAGTGACTAAAATGAGAAGCGTTAAGGTACTATCTGCGGAAAGCTCTACATAATTTCCTGCTAAACAAGAGAAATAACTATAGAAAAAGTGGTCAATATGTAAGGCATTGATTAAAAATCATCTCTCTTAAATATGCATGCATTTAATTAATTGCACAACACTAAGTTTGTAATGCTGGTTATACTGAAACACATTAGGAGATAATAGAGATTAATGGACGATCTGTATGAGAACTTTATGATCAAGTACTGAACACAACGGAAGAAGGACATAGAGAGTTCGTGATTTATGTAAAAACACAGCTTTGAATATAATTCTATTTGAATACATTTCATAGGACACTAGTAGTACAGCTTGAAAAATTAGAGAACTACATGCAATTCAAAATGTAGTTTAGAATAATCTAAGTGTATTTATAGAGTTAATCTAGATTTATTTACCTTAAATACAACTAAAAGATGACAAATAGTCTGCTAAATTGTGACATGATTAAGGGATGAAGCTTAGGTGGATAGTCTTGGAGGCTTTGATTTGTTTGGAATCACAATGGTTTCGAAAGTAAGACATTTAGATTTTTCCTCGAACCATGTAATTGAGGATCACACAAGTTATCTTTTATAACTGTACAAACTACCAATTCCTTTCACAATACTAAAGGTATGATTGAAGCAATTTTTGTCTTCCATTATTTCTCTTCTTTTCCAGTCATATGTTTTTATTTAATATCTTTACATTTTTGTTGACTTTTGTTATTTCACTGAAGTGAAGTGAAAAAAGTGGAACCATTGGTTCGGGTACGAACTTCATTGCGGTCACTCAGCCGTAAATAACGCACTTTATCACATAACATTTGATTTAAGAACACCTATACACAATGACTCACCTGAAAAACCTTAGTGCCAGTAGCAACAATTTGTGGGACTCTTACATGACCTGACATCAGTAAGTTGCATAATAACATGTAATACATAGATCCTTTTCTTTTAAGGTCAACTACACAAGGATCTGCTTCGAACACTTCAGTAAAGGCATCCTAAGCGTTAAGGAAATAAATTACTATCATACTCGATAAATTGGAGGTAAGTCTATGCTCAGTATTTGTCTCCTTCCGCTACCGATAGCGATAGCTAGCCAAACCGGTAGATCAACTCTTTTTCCTACTGGGACGTCATTTGACGCTTTGCAATCATCATTAATGCCTTCACCATGTACTTTATCTTTGACATCTGAAAGTAGCAGTGGAGCCAGAGATGGTAGTGATACACGAACGCGGCATGATGTACGTTCATTAGATGCCAAAATATCATCAATATTTAGATAGGAACCGGCATGTAACAGTGAAACTGTCCAATCAGTACCAATAAACGATAACCTATTCAAATAGTTATCTTAAAATTCCAACAAACATTAGACGACCACGTATGTAGAACTTCGAGTATTGCTGAGGACGTCTGAAATATCCACGTACAATCGACGAAAATCTACCTAAAATGAATACAAGAATCGTGTAAAGATTAATTCATATTGACAAACAAAACAACGTATGAAAGTAATGAAATCAACTTTCCACGATAATTGTTCCGGATCCTTTGGACTAAAAATATGAGATCAAAATGATCACAATATAGCAATCAATTACAATCGAGTTCTTAGTTTGAACTCAGATCTATCTTACAAGAGCCCCTATAAATATCAACCAACTTGTAGCAATGGGTCCAAGTTCAATCAGTTAGTCAGTCAGTTACAACGTAGAACTTCGTTCGTACGTACATCAGTTCAAGTCGCCATGCCACATTAGCACAGAGACGCGATTGTCAATTCAAATCCCATAGTAGTAGAGGTAGTAGAAGAATTAGCAGTAATCAAAAAGATTAATGATCGAATATATCATTCGAGATGTATACCTCAGATGAATCAATTAAAAACGAGAAAAAATGGTCATGAGGAATTCAGAAGATTAAGATTTGAGAGAACACAAAGAGTGGATGCACCTGCTCAATTGCAAACGATTTCGAGCCATGTCATTCAAGGTCTCTAACCATCGATTACTACCATCTCGCAGACCCCTACTAGGTAGACTTCATTTACCAACATCACTCAATCCACTTGCCAGTGACTTCGTGGATTTGTGCCATGTTTTGGTTTGGCCGCCCCTTGCATTCACCTAACTTCGTGGGTAGTGCCGGTCCGAAGCCCGGATAAAAGAGGGTTGGGCTTGAGGTTGAAAAACGTAGAAAGCGAAATCGTTAAGAGAGGTTACAAGAAAAAATAATTCAAACCATTTAAACTCTGCCCTGAGAGTTAGGTCTCAACTTAGAAGAGTTATGACGTCTCATGATGAAAGCTAAGTTCCTTCGGAAGTCACGAGGCTGGTGCCCCTTCTACCAACCAGTCTTTCCATGGTGTGGGCAGCCGAAAATTGACGCAAGCCCTCATACGCGTAACAATATGTGAGACCAAATCGGTCGCGCAATCAGACCCTTCCTACACTCCCCTAATAACTCTCTTATCTCCACGACCAACCCTTCTCACATTCCTTTGTCACCTCGCGTCGCTGAAGCAAACGGTCTGAGCTCACGAAACATTATTCCTGGTCTCCTGAAACCCAAGCCTATGTAACATATTGGAGCTTTCAATGTTTGAAACTTGGGCCATAATACGGCAACAGACTTCATTAGCTAGAACTCTGGAATTCCGTGCGACCAACGTATGGTGTGTCTAGGAAACGAGCATACAGGATCCTAGTAAAATCATTAATTTGATTTCACATTGTCGAGATAGATAATGAACTCGGTTTACGTTCCCTGTATCTGGAAGCCATGCAGCTGCTCTTTGTGGCCTCGCTGGTGTAGGTATAGTATTAAGCCCTAGGGCAGAACTAGCTCTCTTAGACTGTGTTGTAACGGTTGCTTACGATATTTCCCGGCTAAATCTTATTGCTTAGTATTCTTGGCACAAGACACTGGACAAGTAACACAAATCAGAACACGGTTGAACAGGAAGGATTGTATTCCAAAATAGCAAGGAAAAGAAGCTGGAGGTGATGGCGAAAGCCAAGGCAAAAAGGCTTGAAAGCGAAGAAGGCTAGCAGGCAAAGATAAATACAATGCTAGTCTATTTATAGCCTTTGCATGAGAAAACTTCTGGAAGGAAATTCACGTGATCGACTGGACTGGATTTGACCAATCAGCATGCAGCTAATAATACGAGAATTTTCTATCCTGTTCTCCAAGCTTCGATCAGGCGCTGATTGGGTAGGAAATTAGCCAATCAGCGCGCAGTGACGTAATCATGCTTTGAATCCATCTATGTCCCACTAACAGACTGGATCCCGGTAGACAGTCGCTTGCGCGCTGTCCGACTTATTGGGACAGTAAGGACTCTCAATTCTGATTACGCATATGAACTAAAGGTCATAACCAGCTATTCTATGATTTCAACTTTATTCGTATTTTTTTGTTGCCAAACCTAAAATAATGGATTTTCCGGATAACGTTAATCTACTTTATTGCGAGGCATCTCATTGGCTGTAAACGGCCTAAATGCACGTCTGTAATATTATTCAAAAAATTCCATTACATACATAATCAATGGAGTATAGCTCGAACAGACATATGAAACAAAAGGAAACAATATTTCGTGATATAATATTTAAGATTGATTAGTATTTAAACGAAATTAAGTAAAAAGAGTAGATGAATTTGTAAATAATTATAAAGAGACAAAACAAGCTTTTAACACATAAGTGATGATCAAGGCACCGGTTTAACACAAAACTACATTTAATCATGTAAGTGAATGTTAACAGGACTTTTAAATTTCAGTTTCAAAATATCCATAAGAGATAAAATAAGTAAACAGCGTTAACTAATTTACCACAGCATTGAAAGTTTTGCTACGCTTTCTGTATGCACAAGTCATATCGAAAATGCCTGACGACCATGTCCTGTGCAAAGTTGAGTAAAAGAAGCGTATTTTATCTGTGAATCATTTTAAACACTTGAGATATCAACGTTGTGTCAACTACCCAAATTTATGTTTAGTGTTTGTACTTGTGAAAATTTAACTTTTTACAACCGCTTATGAGGAATATATTCCAAATACCTTGTAGATTTCCCTCTTTCAGTAATTCCTTTTTACTTTATTCTACAAGTAACTTCGTAAATGCATTTGGAGGTGATCATCCACTTTTGATTGATTTCAGAAACATCTGATGTTCTATGCCGAAGATAGTTGAACTGCGAAGATACTTTATTCTTTTTGTAGATCCTTCCTGAAGTCTTCTAATCTTTGCAAACAAGACGGATTAAGACAGATTTTCACTTACTACATGATTATTTGGGACTTTCTGTAGTCATTTTCCCGTACGTCATATATATATTTATATGTATCGTTTTTTATAGTCCTTCTAGTCCTATCAAAAATGATCTTACCTAAACAATATTTGTAACCAACCAAAAAAATTCATAATACTGTATGTGTTGCCTTGTCCATGTTTCTTTTCTGAATAAGGTCTTCTAGGTTGTTTTATGGTTCAATCATTTTATTTTCAAGGCTAAATATTTAAATTGATCATTATGTTCAGAATTCACTGTGAATTTGTAGTTAATATGTGCTGAATTAAACTGATATAGCAATCATGAGGCATGATTTACATTATTGCAAATTAAAATTGTATCATCAACATACCTTGAAATATAAAGAATCCATGTTATTCTCTTAGTCTGGTTCTCCTAATGCTGTTTAAATTTATCATGGGATCAGGATACGTGTCACGGCAATAACTCTACATACTCCGTTACAACAAGTTCCACGATAGATATCGTCATATAAAATTCACACGTTCGCATTCCATCAATCAAAACGCTAGAAATGCAAATGAAAAGTACTGCCAGTAAAAGACTCAGTAGCCTGAGTTATTGTCCACGGAGTGGTTTCACTTAATTTTTCTTGAATGTAGTCACCTTTATTAAACTGAAAAAGCGAGAACAAGGATTTGAGCAGAATAGTATAAATTCAATTTATGTTGTTAGGTTTGAATCAGTTGTTGACAACTCGTTATATTTCAAAGTTATTATGACAAAACGGAATAGAAAATGAAGAAATGAACACGTCTCAGTATGGCTTATCAAGATTTTAATAAGACTAAATGATAGAATAAAATGTTGCAGCCATATATTATACATAAAATTAGATTCTGGGACTGATGTGGGGTAGTTCGAGGAGAATGAAACTGGTCATCTAGCGCAGACAAACAGTAACAGCCTACTAACCATTAGATATGTGATTCATTTCCTCTTACTGATTTGTACTCCGAATTCACTGAGTGTTACTGCTTGCGAGTATGTGGAATAAAATATTGGCTCTTTCTGACTCTGGTTCTCATTTTGAACGTTATCGTGTATCAAGTTTAACGTGATCTGGTCTCTGTGTTGTGTACCGTTCGAGTATTCAATTCAATGATAGTATAAGCTCGATCACTCATTAGCTCTATATATGATACAATATTTTCAAAAAAGGCATCCAATACGTCCATTATATCAGGGACGTTGATAGTAAAAAGGTTTGTAAAACTAGAATTAAGTGATTATGTACACTAGAAAATGTAGAAAATGACTTACTTACTTACGCCTGTTACCCCCAACGGAGCATAGACCACCGACTAGTATTCTCCAACCCACTCTGTCCTCAGCTTCCCTTCCCAGTTCTGTCCAATTTTTGTTCATTCTTCTCGTGCCTGTGTCCGTTTCATGGAACTTTATGTTCCTTGGCCTTCCTCTTTTCCTCTTACTCTGAGGGTTCCAAGGGGGGGGGCTTATCATGTGACACATTTGGGCGCTTCCGCACTGTGTATCCTATCCACTTCCACCGCTTCTTCCTGATATCCTCATCCACTGGAATCTGGTTTGTTCTTTCTCACAGTAGGCTGTTGCTGATTGTATCTGGCCAACGGGTCTGAAGTATTTTGCGTAGACAACTGTTAATAAACACTTGTATCTTCTGGATGATGCCTTTCGTAGTTCTCCAAGTTTCCGCTCCATACAGTAGAACTATCTTGACAGTTGTATTGAAAATTCTGATTTTGGTGATTGTTGCTAGTTGTTTGGAGTTCCAGATATTTTTCAACTGTAGAAATGCAGCCCTTGCTTTGCCAATCCGTGCCCTCACATCTGCATCCGATCCACCTTTCTCGTCGATGATGCTGCCCAGATATGTAAAGGTGTTAACGTCCTCCAAGGCATCTCCATCAAGAGTGATTTAGTTGTTGCATGTTACGTTGCATCGGAGAATCTTGCTTTTTCCTTTATGTATGTTGAGACCTACTGCTGCAGAGGCTGCTGCTACATTGGTTGTCTTCTCTTGCATTTGTTGTTGCGTGTGAGATAGAAGAGCCAGATCATCTGCGAAGTCCAGATCATCCAGCCGCATCCTGTCTATCCACCGTATACCGTGCATGCCTCCAGATGTTGACGTCTTCATAATCCAGTCAATGACCAGGAGAAAGAGAAAGGGTGAGAGTAAGCAACCTTGCCTCACACCGGTCTTCACCTCGAAAGAGTCTGTTAGCTGTCCTCCGTGCACGATTTTGCAGTTGAATCAATCATAAGAGTTCCGTATGATGTTAACTATTTTTTCAGGCACACCGTAGTGTCGAAGAAGCTACCACAGTGTTAAATAATAATTCGAAAAATTTCCTTCGGAATTAAGCAACTATCACTGATAGTCTCTTAAAATGTTGCACTTGTTTATTCTTAAATGAATCTGAACTCTCACAATGGCATAACGAGACTACTTATTGTCAGATTGTTCGGAAAATGGTTAGCAATTTAAAAATTGTGAAATAAAGAGAATTCATTTCATTCCGTATACTCCAAATCTTCAACATGCTCATTGATTTATGGGAGTAAAAATATCTTATAAATTTGTTTTTGTGAGTAAAATTTATCAAGTCATCCAGTTCACTAATAAAAAACAAATTAATCATTTTCGATTTATAGGTGAATGGAATAATTAATGAGAAATACTATGATATAATGGAGTACAAAAGTAATGTACAAACTGTTATGATTGTGGTACACGAGGTGACATGAATGTTAATCATTACCTGAAAGCAATAGTAAAGTGATTATAATATTAATGATCATAGTTGAAAATTGTATTAGAAGCCAAAAGAGCTTAGATGACCAAAATGATAAGAAGACAGATATATTATTGATTGATATTGAAATAATAAGATATCGAAAGCTACTATTATTCTTTTATGGGAATCATGAATCGAATAGGCCACCGCTGGAAACCTGGAAGCTATCCAGTGCTTCTTCTAATATTAATCAACTCATGATTCCAATGAAACCTTACAATTCACACAACCCTAAACTGACTTCTTTTATTTAACCCATTTATCACTCATAAGGTAGTTTTCAAAATTTACTGAATGATTTATACCATTGGAAAACGTATATTAGGCATCCCTGTAAAGTCTGTAACCGAATCAAATAAAATCGAAAGTGTGTCATTGAAATTTCAAGTGCCAAAAATAACTGTTAGTTCAATCTGAGAACATCTATTACTACTGAAGAGATTTACTCCCTATGAATAAGAACAAGAAGGGCAGTTCTTATCAGTAACGGTCACTAACATCTATCTCCTTTACCTTGAAACCATAAACTCTTCTAAAAGAATTCCAGAGGGCATTATAGTAGCTATGAACGATAATGGCAGTGAGGCCAAATAAAATTTTAAAATGTAGTCATTGCAAGTACAACTCACTATTTTACTAAGAAAACATCGACTTTAGAGAAATATCATCAAGATTGATAAATATAACAGAGAATCTTATCATCAGCATACTCAGAGGATCTTTCAAGTGCAAATCAGCTGATGACTTAGCACTCAACCATCTAATGCTTGTAAGTTTCGTTTATTTACATATATTGCATATTAGAGAAACATGAACAGAATAGTCCATCTAAATGCATATTATGAATTGTTCATCTTACCATTTGGTTGCTCTGTGGTTAACACAGATGTTAGAACTAGTTCGTCTACTTATAGATGTATATGCAGTGGAAAATATTTTCCACTCTGAAATCTAAAACATGTGAATATATCTAGCAAATAAATGATTTATTTTAATGCAACATTAGTGTTTACTGAAACGCACTTTCATGAAACTATAGACATTATTCCCCGGTATTATAAACTTCAAAGTCTACCAGTATCTGATTTTAAACAGCTGATTTAATGTGTGAGAAGAAAGTTCAGTTTCAATTCATAAATGCCTTATACCGCCAAGCCGATAATATACCAATGAGGAGTCCGTTTTTTCCTATTCTAGAATATATTTTTATGGTTAATTTTGAGAATGCAGAGCTTAAGAAAGCGATTGATGAGATGACAGATTGTTAATAGCATGCTGATATCATGCTTATTCTATGTAACAGTACGCAATTCGCAACCCACTTTTTGGAACTTCCCGGTAAGGCACATCACATTCAAACGTTTACTGAGGAACTCAAACAGTACAATAATGTCCACTTTCTTGATATTGTCACACAGATGGAAGATGACACGATCTCGTATTCGGTCTGTCGACTGTACAGACTAATTTACACTCCAACTTTAGCTGTGTAATTCTTTTCAGTTGGGTGAAACTATTTTTGCTATAAATAATAGATTTGTATTTCTAGTGAATTGGGGAATTTGTTGAACTTGGGAAGTGCCCAGTTGATTGATAAATATAGAAAAACTGAAGACCAAACATTTGAAAAATCTACAGTCAATAAAAACTCACCTTTATTTACATATTCACAGATGACCATTGCATAGGGCTGATTAATCCTAGGGTCAATATTATAAATTATCTTGTAGGATTATTTCTTGCACTAAATCGATCGTAGGTCAACAGTTACCCTATTCACGCTACTACCTACTGTGTATAAATTTATGTTTACTTAAACAAGTAATGATTATTGACAGAACAGAAAGCGAGCATACTTAACAATTTTTGGAATACAATCTTTTTACTCCTCGTCCAAAACAATCAAGATGTGTGGCTGAATTATTTCAGAAAATGTTTAACATCAAGAACATTAAATAGATATACCAGAAAATCTTCCTGAGAGACTATTAAACAATCGTATTTTACCTTTTGAAATCTAATGAGTTTGTTTCTATCAAGCATCGAAAACCGGATTTTTGTATTCAAGGACAAAACAGTTATCAACTTTTCATTAGCATAACTTTTATAGTTCAACTACTACTGCCATTTAAACGCTGCGCATTCATAATATCATGATTCCTTAATAAATTTAAATGGAATGAGAAGAACAAGTTTTTCAGAATAACATGAATTCATTATTATCACAAACCTTATCATCCATCAGCTGCAAACAACTGATAAATTCATTAAGTAACAATTCATTTTTGGTGCGATAAAGTTTTTTTTTACCATCAATGTTCCAAAATCTGATTTTATGTATAATATCTGGTTGCAACATTTTATTCAATCATTTAATCTTATTAAATTATATTGATACATCATATTGAGACGTGTTCATTTATGTATTGTCAACTCCGTTTTGTCATTTATAACTTTGAAATATTACGAGTTGCTCAACAACTGATGCAAACCTAACAACATATATAGATTGAATTTATACTATTCTGCTCAAATAATTCTGAAATGTTCAGTTGTTTATAACTGAAGAACAGTAAGTAATGTTGCCATAATGAGTAGAATGAACAATATCATTTCATTAGATAATATATAATATCACATACAAATTGCATGATAAATATGTGTCAGTAATAAGTTAACTGATACATTAAAAATGGGATTGTTAAACTTCATTCATATATTTCCTTGGCTATTCCTAACAAAGAATTAATCGTATTTACATTGTCAGCCAAAGTGTATCTCTCTTTAAGATAAAATGAATTTACATAAATCCGCTTTTGTGACACTTAACATTCTTTAACATGTTGAATTTTATTTTCTTATTAACAAAACACATTTTCAACTCCTTGAAATGTGACAATTGTTATTGTACTTTTTAAAAAGAAATTGAAGCAAACTATGCAGAAATTAAAGTTGCTGAAATGGAAAACAACATCAAATTGGAAATGTTGTATTATTTAGTTCTAGACAATCAATGATGAATTGTTTCATACCTTAAGTTGAATGTGTTCAGCGTGATCACTGACTTTTGATTAATAATAATTTGATTTCGATGTGATTCATCCATTTCTTTCTTTGGTATGATGACTCATTTTCGATTTGAAACATGGTTTACATACATCGAGTACAACTAGACGAAATGTTTTGAAATATTTGAAATAAATGAAAAAATCAAATAATTCACGTGTGAAATGTAAATTCCAAAAAATATTAGCTATTTGAATTGCAAATTTGGAATCATTCAACGCATTTTTAGTATCACTATATCTACCAATAATGTAAGCAATAGCTTGCGGAATCGATGTAAAAGTGTATGAAGCAGAGTAGACTAAAAAGAATACAGTAGTATGTAATTGTCTACGATCAGTTATACTCATCTTCCTCATAGTTGTATCTTTTACATGTTTACGGATACGTAGAAGAAATGCCAAATTAACACTGACCAGTATTAGACTTTGTACACAGCCTAAATTTGAAAATAATGCATGGTATAATCGAATTGCATATTGACTTGGTTCTAAGGAACATTGTGTTTTCGAGTCAACAATATACCAACCACTTATAAAGAGTACTGGTAACATCATCAGAAAGCTCAATAGATAGACTGTAGCACATGCAACCCAAACATAATATTTCGGCAATTTATTAAATAATATTGGAAAATATATGCAAAAGAAACGATCCAACGCTGCACAAACTAATAAATTACACATGCATGTTGACACAGCTGAATAGATGAATCGATGTATTCTACATGCCAATGGTGAAACATTGTTTATGATGAAATATACTTCACCTTTTGTAATGAATGGTAGACCTTTGGAAGGAAATAACCATAACCAACCATATACTATATTCGTTACTAAATTCATGATTGCGACAAATGCCATGTAGACCATATGACGTGGCATTAATTTAATCTTAACAAATGTGACAACTGATATAAATGTATTAGAAATAAGTCCTAGGATTGATATAACTGGAAATACATAACCGGACCATGTTCCTAACAACATAGATACTCCACAAATTAGTCGATCGCTTTGAATGAATAACTTTGAAGTATTTATAATGGATGAATCACAACCCTCATATGTATCCCAAGGAGTGTTTCGAAATTGTTCAGTTAAATTTTCCATCATACTGTATATTTAATAGTAGTTTATTGTATTTTAATTATACTAAATGATTGATAAATAATTATTGACTGAAATAAGATGTTAACAAAAATACAGTTGGTCATGTCAATTGAATAATGAACAGTGTGAACTGATAGTTTCGCATTGACCTAAATTTTGATGAAACGAAGTAGTGTGAATAATATTTTAATATACTGCAGACACAAAAGCATATCCTATAGACGAATTTCAGTGTGCTTTTAGAGAATAATATTATTATTGGTAGATTAGTGAGTTAAATTGTTTGAGAAAGAAAAAAAATCTCGAATGAATTTCATATCAATCGTGAATCAATGCCTATATATAACACATTATTTTGTATGTAAACTAGTTAAAAGAAATTTTTCTTTAGCGTTTAGTTGGTTGGTATTTATGCGCTGAAATTAAACGATCGGTCATCAAATTGCTGTGATTATTACTATGGCAATTCAATATTTTCTAAGTTGATAATATTCTAGTGTGTGTCAAATAGAAAAAAAAAAAAAGAAATACATTCATCGAAAAAAATATGAATATTTATATTGATGTTGTACGTACTATGTATGTTTCATTGAACTCACCTAATTTAAAATGGATGACTTTATTTATTTCGCATATACAATTTCATATCAATTGCACGCTAAGAATTGAATGCATTTAAAATTGATGTATATCAATGAACTATTGACTAGAGAATAAAGATGAATGAAAACGTTTCTGGAGCCATTATAGGTTTTCGATTTTACCCATCCTACTAGTATACTGAGTGATATTTCTGAGTGGTAGGTAGTTTACAAAATTTCAAGTATAATATACAATCTTATATTGGCTATCTAGGCAATATGTGTGCTCTAACATTTGTCCATACATAGGATAAGGAAACTGATTAATTTTCAGGGCTTACACACAGGCTTCGTAAAGGGTGTCATTTGATCATATGGAAATGTTGAATTAAAACTAACTAACTGTGATCAAATAAAATGTTTTACTAAGAAATAAAAATGAAATTTAATTGAAACATTGACACGTAGTCAATCTTCAACACTCCAGTAGTCTATGGTTATTAATTTTCTGTCAGGGTTCCTCTCAATACTAAGGTACAACTAAATGAGATGAAGATTTTCAAAGCCGTTGACATACATCAAAAGAGGCTTTTTGATTCATTGCTCTGAATTGGTTGCACTGGACAACTTAAAAATAACTAAGTTTTCAACTGCATTTGTTCAAGAAATATTTAAAAACTACTCACAAATAATGCGAACCAAACACTGTTTTTTTTATTCGGACAACGTTTAATAATGGTGCCATTTGTTTAAACTCATTAGACTAGAATAGTTAACAGTTCAAATATATGACTGAACTTACATACAGACTATGGTGAAAAATGAATAAAACACATAGTACAAATAAGTTTTCATAGCTGATTAATTTGAAGCACACAGAAGAATTCGCAATGATAAAGAGTAGACAAATTAACAGAGCCTTAAACTGAATCTGTCTTCAGCTGTTTGCTACTATTATGTCAGTCTATATTGTATTTGTTTCGAATACCAATTAATTAACGTTTCATGAAAATATCCAGCTCAAAAAAATACAAATTAATGTAATTTTATTTTTAGACATTTGAAATCATCAATCAATCATTGTTAGACTACCATTAGAAACCTGGAAGCACTGGAAGGCCGTTTCGTCCTGGTATGGGACTCATCAGCAGTGCGCACCCACGACTCCTGCACCTCGCAGGATTCGAACCCGGGACCTTCGAAATTGTGCTCGAACGCTTAACCATCGGACCGCTGGGCCGGCATCCAACGGTATTAATGTCTAACTCTGATTGATCTACGGATTTTGCGCGACCTCACCCATTTGTCTTTGGTAGTTACTGCCTACACCCGACAGGGTTGAACTCCATTGATTGATGATTTCAAATGTGTAAAAACACAAACCTCCAAAACTCTGCCCGAAAATATAGTAATTTTATTTCACGAATTATTATGTGCTAAAATCAAGATATTGAATTTGTGTGCTTTGTTTTGTGGTAAGTGATAAAATGGAGATAAGGCAAAACATAATCGGCCGGTCATCCACTATAGGAAATAGAAAACAATGAAATCCGTACAGTTGATATACATCATTATAAGCTTTAATTAAGAATAATACATCCCAGATTTGTAATAATCTGGCCACGAGAGCAGAATTTTAAATTCTGGATTTATTTTGCAAATAATTTCACTACTCCTATTGTCAAAATCAACTGAAATAAATGACTTTTATTCTTTAAGCATGATCTACTAATGAAAGCAGAAGGGAAATTTTCATCTGATATGATATGAAGTGGTTTTTGTTTGTTAGTTCAAAGAGATTTATTGTTGAGGAAATAACTAGAGATGGAGTTAATTTCAGCAGTTTATGTTATCAGACTTGCAACAGAGTAAATTTGATTTTGTTGATAAATGTGGTACTAAGATTACTGGTTATCGAATCATCATTCTACAAGTTATAAACAAGGTGCTTTGAAATATGATTTAACTGATTTCATTTTAGCTGTCAGTACAGAGGATTAATAGTTCCGAAGAAAGGTTCGTGATTGGTTCACATAGCATCATAAGGTAATTGAATTTTGTTTCTCATCAAGACCGATTCATTAAGATAATTTATTTTGTCACCTACAAATGATTCGTTTCAGTGCTTGTCCTAATTTGTCTAAATAACTCCATCTCATAAATAATCTGCTAAGACTTATTATCCTTATAACTAAGGGACGACTTTTCCAAATTACTTCGCGCCATAGCATGAAGAGATAAAGTGATATCTGTGTAAATCTAGTAAGCCCAGTCATAAAATTTCGTTCGAGCTTTAAAATTTAATACTAAAAATTTGGTTCATAATCCTCCCACCATAAAAATTCTAAACAATGTCATTCGTTCTCGAGAAACTAAAATTTTTCGAGTGAATCAATTTTTTCATCAGTTATTCTTAGGCCAAACTGTTATAATTTTATGTGTTGCTATGTAATAAATATTGTAGGGGGCAAACAAAATGTTGTGTTGTACAGCAGTCGAGTTAGATTCAGTTTCACATAGAAGGCATGTCTCGTTTTCATTCCTTGAATCCAATGACTTTCACAAACTACAATAATAGCAAGAGGAAAACCTTACTGAACTGAGCATATGTTTCGGTTGCGCAAACGACAGCAGAAAAATGCATCATTATCAATCAGGATGAAGATAAAATAGACTAGCATGTATTTCATTCGAATCTGGTTACTTAATGACTAGTATTTTTTTTTATTACGTACCACATTAAAATGTAAATGATATGAGCAAATGACTAGTACAACACCGGTTAAACCAGCTGATGATGATTTTAGTTGAAATAAATGTAAGCATAGAATAGAAATTTGCATGATCTAGTGTTCCACGATGGATCGATCACAATTTACGAAATATTTGTCTGTAGCTGAAAATAGCTTAAGCTTAAAAAAGTAGAAGTTAATCAAAATTATGATATTGTATACTCATTTATCATAATTGAGTTGAACTCTGTTTGATTATGTTTTCTTCACATCATAAACTGTTTGTAAACCGTTGTTGAATAACTTGAATATTTATGTTTATTCATCATTCAAGTTTCTTTAATGAGCAGTTTGTTGTAATCATTGCGGATATATTGAAAGTCGGGAATTCAGGGAAGTGTTCTTGTTCTTAAATTTTCTATATCAATAAACTTAAAAACATTTGTCGCAAACTGAGTGAAAATAAAAGTAACTCAGTATGATATCGAACAAACTTCTACAAAAGAATATAATCCATATATTATCATCAATGTTTTGACACAAATACGAATTAGCATGAATGAAACCAACTAAAGTAGCTATGTTTATGATGTATACTACACCTTTTTCGTTCACAACAAACACTGCATAAGATGCAGAAAATATGGTCAGAAACGTCAAACCTTGAAGCTATTTACGATTCTTTGTAGTTTTGTTCTTTACTGCACTCATTTGTCACAGCTGTTTGTGTTTTAAGTACAGAAAACATGATATTTATGATGATGGTGACGAATAGTTATAAAGGTACTATATTTGTTACCAAAGAATTGTAAAATAAGAAGTTGATACTCTCTGATGTAACTCAACAATTAAGTTTTTCGCCAGCTACAAACAAGCTGCTAACTATCGCAAATGGAATTGTCATCGGAAAACTTATGAGGCACATTAAACCAAAGACATACCAAGCAAATTTATTTGGCAGGTTTGAGAATTAAAGATGGAAATAAACAGTTAAACAACGGTAATTCAGTGCGCTCAACAACAGTTACACATCAGATGTGAAGAGAAAGAATGCCGAAAACGGAAAAAAGTACACGAATCTATGGACACAGAGCAGGGAGAAGTATTTGTTACTGTTTGTCACATATGATAATCTTATGGTTAGATAAAACCAAAATAAGTCATATACCATACTGACAAGTATATATGATATTGATGAACTAGTTTTAAGATTGGATGCAATCAAAACACTAGTCATTGTAGTATTAATTATAAATGATATAATCAGGAATACAGGCAGTATATAGGCAGAGATTAAACCCAATATTGTTGAAGCTATGCACTCTATGAATAAGCTTCTTTCCATTAACAACCTGTTTACCAGTCACTTTGGAACTCCAAGGGTTCTTCCTGAACGGCTATTTGTACAGTGCTTTATTTTTGTGAACACATTTTTTTCAGCTAGTCAATCATTCATGCACTTTTTTCGAATTCCTAATGATTGCGGTTTTTGGGATGCATGAGAGAATTGTGACTATTATCAAGCTGAACATTTTTCCCATACGTATAGACATGTTTAAAGCAAATATTTATCATGTTTGACATGAATATATTCCTGTAGACATGCCCTTTTATTCTATTTGGTTTGTTAGTTTAAACAATTTCTTCAGTACAGTAATCGTTCACCTTTTTAAATGAAAGTCGATTTCCT